GCATTCCCCCGGAGGAGCTGGAGGAAGTGTCTGGAGAGGGAAGTCTGGGCATCTTTGCTTAGACTGCTGCCCCCGCGACCCAGTCCCGGATAAGCGGAGGAAAATGGATGGATGGATGGATGGACATCGGTCTGTAGCTCTCCATCTTAGAACCCCAGTGACCAACATTCTGTTTTCATCAAGACTGTGATTGTGCCTTGAGGGGTAGCAGGTGAATTCTGTGTGATCCCTCTGTCACAGAGGTCCTTCCTGCTCAGCGCATTCCCCATGCAAGTTCCATAAGGCCGTTTGTCAGTTGGTCAACCATCAGTGAATAGACTCTACAGGGGTTTACAAGGATAGTGTCTCACACAGACAGGCACAAAAAATATGTCTGTGTCTGTGTACAGATGAGTAAATATGGTAATGCCAGGAATAAGATTAGTCATAGATTTTGTTGCAACAGTCTGAAAACATGCTGATTTTGGCAATCTTCATCTTTAGGATATGTGTTTCAGACACGTGACCTGACAGGAGTATGGATTTCAGATTATCCGATTAACAGACATATAAATATACACACACATCTCTTCAGTGTAAACAAGAGGCCATCATGACCACTTAGACAAACTGGATTCAATTACAGTCTGCTACACTCTGAATATCAGATAAGACCAAATTACGCAACTGTTCTCAAGGTGACAAGTTGAGTGAATACCTGATGAATCTAAAGCAGCAGCCAAAGACACCAAATGCCTGCTTCACCAAGATGAAAGCACTGCAAAACTGTCTAACTGTTTAAAGGATACTCTCATCTTATGGTTTCACCACACACACAGAGGGAACTGACATCTTTACTAACGTACAGCTAACATCCATAGTGGTGAGAAATTATTTAGAAAACTCTTAGATCTGGATGATGAGCCAGATCAGCACCAAAATCAAATGGATTGGTCCATGGGACATACCCTACCTCACCAAAAAAACTTTTACCCATATCCAATTGTTAAATTTTGAATTAAGCTGTGAACAAATCAACCAACAAACAAACCCTGGTAAAAACTTTACCTCTGCCTTGGCTGAGATGACTACTGTCAACAGGGTTCACAGACAATTTCATGTATGATGTGAACTATAAACATGGATTGGGGGTACTGTATATGGGGTTTCAAATTCCATATATAAGAGCACAACACTTGTTTATCATTTTATTAAGTAATGAATGTTTAGGTGTAATTGTACAGATGCAGCAAGATTATGTCAGTTTCTTTACATTCTTGTTCCTCCAACTCTTAGAAGAAAGACCTCTAAACTCTATGTATGCGGCTCCCATTACAGGTGGCTTACCAGTATTTTGGTGGTATAGGCACTGTTGATGGAGATGGCATTGACCAGTAAGTCCAGTGATTTGGGTGGCAGAACTCCAGGGTCTGGGATTTCTTTGTAGTGCACATCTCCAACGTAACACTGCACAGCCGTCATACGGTTGGTGGTTAACGTGCCTGTCTTGTCAGAGCAGATGGCTGTAGCATTGCCCATTGTTTCGCATGCATCCAGGTGACGCACTAGGTTGTTGTCTTTCATCATTTTCTGTTGGTAGGAAACAACATGATGACAATGGTGTGCTGTAATGCTTATTTAAAAATGCTTTAGAATATCATGCACTGTTAGTCAGACACCTGAATTAGTCTGTCACAAACTTACACTGCTTGGATTTCAGTGGCTATAATGGCTACTAATTCAAAAAGAGAGATACATGTGCTCACTGTACATAATATGCTAAAATGCTTATTATTAATTATTATTTCACAGTTATTCACAGTAAAAACTAAATGTTTTCTGCACCTGGCCTTCATCAGCATCAGTTTTTCTGTTTGCTGCTGTGAAATAATGTATTAACAATTCCCATTTTTACATTCCCAAAATGTAAAAAGTGTATCTTCTGAGCTGCAGCTAATAGTTAGATTATACTTTAAGGTTTATTGCAGTGAAGGTCAGACTCAGGTCAAACTCCGTTTAATCAAAATCAAATCAAATCAAATTTTATTTGTGTAGCACCAAATCACAACAAAAGTCATCTCAGGACACTTTACAAAGTAAGGTCTAGACCTTACTGTTATCACTATTATTACATAGGGAAAACCCAACAAATCCCC